AGAAAAAGCCAAGGATTTATTGAACAGACATAAACTAATTTTGGACCCAGCTGGATACAGACAAGAAATTAGAAGTAGATCAACCTCAAAAGGTTGACACCAAGAAGAAGATGCGGCTGAAATGTTCATACAGGAACTGGCTATTTTATCTAAAGATGGAGGGGAAAAAAATCATACTTAATCTAATATCCTCTTCAGACAATTCAGAAATTGGTCGAAATCTTAATTGAAATTGTTGTTTCCAAAAGCAATCTTTTGCCCAAATCATACAAAACATCTTTCTTCTCCAGTTTATGCTCCATAAGATCCACACTATCCTTCACCTGTTTAACATCTCTATTTGAATGTTGTATCTCCTCACGAAGTTCCTTTGAAAGCATATCAAGCTTTGATTTTATTGCCTGTTCATATGTTTTAGCTCAGTGGTGAAATCTAAAATTTGTTACTACCGGTTCTGTGGGCGTGGTTTGGTGGGGGGGAGGTAATGTAACTGGGTGGGCGTGGCCATTTTTTATTTTACTTTTAAAAACATTTTTTCTACAACCTCTTCGAAGAGGTTGTTAAAAAATGCTTTCAAAAGGCTCTGATGATCCCAGCTGAGTTGCCTGATCAGCAGAGGCTTTTTTTCTTTTAAATGCCTCTGACGATCCAAGCTGAGTTGCCTGATCGTCAGAGGCATTTAAAAGAAAAAAAGCCTCTGCCGATCAGGCAACTCAGCTGGGATCGTCAGAGCCTTTTGAAAGCATTTTTTTTACAACCTCTTCACTCTGAAGAGGTTGTAGAAAAAATGCTTTTAAAAGTAAAAAAAAAAAAAACCTCTGATGATTGTGTGGCTGAGCTGGGCATGGGTGGGGGGGTAGGGATTTTTGCTACCAGTTCTCTGAACCACCCGTCTCCATCGCTACTGGATAGGGCGATCCAGTCTGAACCGGGAACATTTCACCCCTGTTTTAGCTGTATATTTATCCAAAAAAGGTCTTAAAGATTTTGCATTTCCTAATATTCTTTCCAGATTCTCCATTCTCTTGCGTGTAGCCATCTTGTAAAATTGTAACTAAAGTTTTGATTTTACAGTTTAAAATTTTAGACTTGTACGTTTATAACGTTAAATCCAATGGGTTGAATAATACTGCTGGAGATTTAAAAAGAATTAGCAATACTACAGTCTTTTGGCTCCCTCGTGTGGTCAAACACTACCACTGTAACATGAGCTACAGAAAAGAACATAGTCTGTGCCTCTTTGTTTAACAGCTCACACAACTGGTCCAATCAGCTCACACAACTGGTCCAATCAGAAGCAAGTAAAATCAGAACTATTCCTCACCCTCCTCATAGCAAGATCAAAATACCATTTAGGCAGTCTTTAATTTTGGAAGCAAAAAGTTTCAACAGTCAATTAAAGATATAAAATCCTGGAAGATTTAAGTCCAGAAGTTTCAAAAGTAGTTTCTGTGAACTCTGAAGCTGACCTGGCTGGAGCCATTTTTCTCCTGCCTCATAGTTGCCATGAACTTTGAAAGGGGGAAGGGAGGGGGGAAGCAGATAGACTGGCTACCCGTTAAAACAAAGTTTTCCTGTGGGAACCAAGATCATCCAGCAGATGGCGGAGGAGTGACCAAGCAGCCTCCCAGCTACCTTCATTGGACAATGTGATTGGTGACACTTGGGGAGGGAATATTTGCTCTTTTAATTAGGGGAAAAACCACGGGAACCTTTAGAGTTGGTTTTCATTAGCTGTGCCGATATGGTGTGTCCAATAAACATTTTCCTTGAGGAATCGACCTGCCTCGTCGTGATTTTGGTGGATGCATTACTCGGAACCCTGACAGTTTCCATAGTGATTTCCAGCTTCTCTGTTTTGGTTCGGATACACCAACTCCTTGTTCCAAAGTCATCTCAATTAGCCTTCTTTTTAAAAACAATACATTTTATTAGTTTATCAAAATACAAAGAGAAATTTTAAAAATTAATAGAAAACTGGAGGGGGAAGGAAAAAGAAAATAAGATATAATATGGAAAAAAGAGGGAAAAGGGGAGAAAAAGTATCAACTTCCAACTCTCCTTAACACAGTAGAAGTGTTTTGTCTTCACTACATGTTACTGTGTGTGCCCCTTGACATGCAGCTAACCCACCTATCCTCCAATAAAATAGATTGCATGTGTAAATCTGGATGCTTTATTAAAGGAATAGGATAGGTGAAACTGAAAAAATAGAAATACGTATAATAAAAATCCAGATACAGAATAAGCAGTGTTGAGTTGCTGGTGACCATAACATAGCTTGTGTGTAGGATGGCGGTAAAGGTTCATTCTCTGAGCTTGTGGGTTGGTTTCCGAACTTTTCAACCGACACCAAACAGCACCAGTTCAATTGGAGCAATACAAATCAGCCACGCCAGCACCCGCCACTCTTGTGAGTTCATTGAAGCCTGGCACTCCACAGACAATTCCATCAACAGACACATTGACCCACAACCTGCCTACAAACCCCTCAGAATCCAAATCAACCACATAGCCAACCAGAGACAGCACCAATCCTCAACCAACCCATGCAACCCAGCAGTTCACCTCCCAATGATCCTGACTTGATGTAATCTCCTTATCACAAGACCCACAGCTGACCCATCACAAGACCCTCACTTAACACACCCACACCTGAAGCCCTTATAAACAGAAGATCACTGACATTGACATCCCCTAAACTCCATTGAATATGTTATCTAGCGTGGTAATGAAATGTTCGGAAACCAACCCACAAGCTTGGAGAACAAACCTTCACCCTCAAATACAGATAAATCTAAATCTCACCAGCAATGCTGTGTGTATGGGATGTGGATTTTGTTCTGCAAAACTAGCAGATCATGAAATTACCACCTTTCTGATTCCATCTGTGAATCTATAACCTTTGGAACCTGGCTCATATCCAATAAACCTAAGTTTCCTGGGCTTTTTCTGTCCTTTTCTTCTGGTGCTTTTGACACTATACACCCAGGCATAACTACCAAATATTCTTAGGTGAGCCAATGAAGGTTTTCTTCCATATAACAGGAAATATGGAGTTTCATTCATAGCAACACTCCATACTCTGTTTATCAAATAGTTGGCTGTTTTCATGGCTCCCCCCCAGTACATTCTACCCATTCCTGCTAGCAGTGAGTCTTTCATAGTTTGTATTACGCCATTCCTTCTTTCAACCACTCGTTTTTTGCTGGCAAGTACAGATTTGTATGTCTATGCCTTATGCCTAAACTCCTCAGACACCTTTGGAACTTATCTGACATGAACTCTGTTCTGCTGTCTGTTTGCAGCTGGCATACTATACCACCATATCTGCACTCTACAAGGTTTACCCATTGCCTGAACATTTGCAGTACCTCTGTCTTGCTTTTTAGCACATAGCAAAACTAGTATAATCATCCACTATTACTAGTGCATACCTAGCTCCTCCTAGTGAGGGTGCCATAGGACCAATCAAATCAGCGTGCACTAATTGCAAGACTCTGTTTGCCTTGAACTTTTCTTACTCACAGGATACTCCTTGGCCTTTGACTCTTTACAAACAATACAATCTAAATACATATTGCATAGTTCTTCAGTTAGGTCTGGCATCTATGCAGTGTTCTGAAGTTTGTATGATCTAATCTCCTGTATAGTAAATGTACAGAATTTTCATCCGTGGGAGTATTTGTAAGTGTTTGTGTACAATCATTCTTTTCCTTTCCTAGTATGTATAAATTATCCTGCTTAACACCTCATGCACAAATTCTCCTATCTTTCCTTATGGTGTATGGTGTCCAGCAAATAGTATTTCATACTCATTACCATCTCTGTCTCTGTCTCTATCTCTATCTCTTTATCTATCTATCTATCTATCTATCTATCTATCTATCTATCTATCTATCTATCTATCTGATTTGATTTGATTTGATTTTTATACCGCCCTTCTCTGGCAGGACTCAGGGCGGTGAACAGCCAAGGTAAAACATAGCATACAAAATTTAAAACAATTTAAAAAGATATTAAATAATTTCGGCCCACAATTTAAAAACACCCCAATAAAATCAATTACAAATTGATATCCACACATATACAATATATACTAACAATATATACCGTATATAAATTATCTGCTAGGGCATGACAAGAAGTTAACAATATTACAACAAGAAGTTTTTACTTTTACACAACAGTATATACTTAGCCATTTCTATAGCAACAAAGCTATTATCAGGGTTCCAAGTAACACCCGTAATGAAAGAAGACTCTGAGGTTAGACATTCTTCAAATTTCCATTTTATTAGCGATGTCATATTGGCACATCTGGGAAAACCCGAATCTGAAAGCCTCCAGGTTTTTCCCACCCAAAAGAAAGTCCCTTCTCCTTCATCCACATGTCCATCACATATTCCAATCAATTCACCATCCCAACTGGAGATGCCTCCCAGCAACACCCCTCCAGGTGCAGGGCAGAGTGACCTTGACTCTTAGAGAAAGGAATGTTGTTATGACTATATATCTCCCCAATTCCCTACAGTCCCTCCTCTGTTCCAGGCCTGACACCTATCTAATCAGCAAAACCAAAATCAAAGTTTCATTTTTTCCCCATTGCAAGCAGAAAATCCGGAAGCAATTTCCAAATATAAAAACATTAAATATATTCTTCTTTGGATAAAATAATTTAACCATCTCTGCTTCTCTTTTCTGTGGGGAATAGTATATACTTCTGTTTACTGATTAATCTTTATAAACTATCATAATTTATATTTTAAAAATTCTCTATATTATTTCAGATTTTTTTAACCCTAACGGGAAAAAAATCACCCCTCCCGGCACAGTCAGAAGTGCTTTACAGATCATAAAGTACCTTTCAGAACCCATTGAGACTACAAACAATTGATAAACAACCAGTTATAAGGGCTATTTGTAATGATTTTGTGATGTAATAGTCTAATAGTTCTTTTGTTCTGCGTACTTATCTTGATTTTGTCTTTTCTTTTCAGGACTTTCCATTTCCAAGGTTTACGACTAGATGAAGCTTTAAGACTCTACCTAGAAGCCTTTCGTTTGCCAGGAGAAGCTCCTGTGATTCACAGGCTATTGGAAGCCTTTACAGAACATTGGCATGTATGTTTTGAATTGCCCTATATCTTTGTTCTTAAATAGTGTATTAAGTAATGGAATTGAATGAAGAATTCTTTTTTCTATGCTTACTTTCATCATTGTGGAAAAAAATAACTGATTTTGGTTAGGTTATATTCACTTAATTTTTTTGTGTGGGTGGCAGTGGCTGAATTCATATATCAACTATGATTTATTACCCAAACATAGCAAAAATCAAACAAATTGGACTATAACTTACAATTCTATGTTAATTTTCTATTTGAAAAATATCCCAAACTGACAGCAAGATAGTAAATGATAAAATGAAGTACAAATAATATAATGGTAGAAACTGGGACAACACTCACATGATAATGGAGCCAGCTTCAGACTATGTTCGCCGCAGATGGGATTCATCTTTCCAGGGCCAGGAGGGCCAAACCACCGTGAGAGGGTGGCTTTGGACTTTTTCTGACTTTTTCCATCTTGCCTTGATTAGGATGGCCAACCACTGTGAGAGGGTGGTTGGATAGTTCCCTCAGCTGGACTGAACGTGAGGACTCCTACCCATTACCGTAAGAGGATAATGGTGACTCTTCCGATTAACTTAGTCTTGCTTCCTGGACATTTGAAACATCATTATAGACCCCTAGGCCATGTCTAGGCCAAACTTGTATTATCACTCTAGTGTTAAAATGTATTCTAGGGCAAAGCTTCTTGTGCTGCGAGATTCCCCCCTCTCGCAGGCCTGGCCCTCTATGTTATCAAGGGCCCACCTTAATGGCGGATCTTGGGACCCCGAGAAGTGGCATGTTGCAAAAAGGGGATTGAGGTGTTTTTTAAAGACTTTTTTAAATAGACTTTTAAGGGGTTTGAGGGGGGGGAGGTTACGTGGGTTTGGAGGAAAACCCACGGGGTTGGAGACCAGTCCGGCTGCTATTAATGGTGCCATAGAGGGTGCGGACTCTGGGGGAAAGGGGACTGTTAGAAGGCCCTCTAGTGAGGGCTTCTCTATTAATACGCTGAGTGGGAGGGGCAGGTATGGTGGGAGCAGGGGGCCATATCATGTGGTGGGGGCACGTGCTCGCTATCTCCGAGCGATTGCGTGCCCCGGTCCCCTTAGCTCTTCCCGTTCCCCAGGCTGCTCAGAGTCTCAGGGCCTGAGTTTCCGGCTGATGTTGTGTAATGCCAGGTCCGTAGTAAATAAAGCCTCCCTCATTTGTGATCTTATTCAGGAGGGGGGAGCGGACCTGGCAGGTATCACGGAGACCTGGGCCATGAGGGGGGAGTTCCCCTCGTGGAGATGTGCCCATCAGGCTTCCGTGCATTTCATCAGCCGAGAGCTCAGGGCAGGGGCGGGGGGGGGGGCGGTCATTCTAAGAGAAGGTCTTGATCCGAGGGAGACCACTGTACCTCAGATAGCCGGATGTGAGTCCCTTTTTGTGAAGTGGGGTCGCGGGGTGCAGATGGGTCTGTTGATCACGTACCTGGCTCTCTGCCATGTGGCAACGACCCTGCCCGAACTCCTCAATGTTATAGCCGAGGTGGCGGCTGATACCCCCAGACTTGTAGTCATGGGGGATTTCAACCTGCCATCCATCGGTGAAACATCTGAGGTAGCTCGGGAGTTCATGGCTTCCATGACGGCCATGGACCTGACCCAAGTAATTCACGGCCCTACTCATATGGGGGGACACACTCTGGACTTGGTTTTTATCTCTGGTCAGCGGTTGAGTGGCCTCGATATAGGGGATGTAGATATTGAACCCTTGTCATGGTCTGACCACTCGCTCCTTCGACTTGACTTTGTGACCGCCGTACCCCGTTGCAGAGAGGCGGAGCCGACCAGGTGGTTCCGCCCCAGGCGCCTGATGGACCCCGATAGGTTCCAGCTGGAGCTTGGGCCATTTCCTGAGACTCTAGCTCATGACTTGGCAGATGACCTGGTGGCCGCCTGGGATAGGGCGGCTGCCGGGGCTTTGGACCGGGTCGTGCCTTTGCGGCCTCTGACCCGGCACCGAACTCACTTAGCTCCTTGGTTCTCCGAGGAGCTGAGAGAGATGAAGCGCCGGAAAAGACGCCTAGAGAGCGGTTGGAGGGCCAGTCGTTCCGAGTCTGACTTGACACTGGTAAGGTCCCATATTAAGACCTACCTAGTGGCGATAAAAGCGGCGAAATCTAGTTATTTTGCCACTCTTATCGCGTCATCAGATAACCGCCCAGCCGCCCAGTTTAGGGTGACCCGCTCCCTCCTCCATCTGGGAGCACGGGAGGACCCCTTGCAGGGCCGAACTGAGGATTTTGTACAGTATCTGGATGATAAAATAACTCAGATTCGGGAAGACTTGGCCGCCGACTGGCTTAGTTCAGACGAGATGACTGAGGCAGGCCTTGAGAGTGTTATCTGGGAGGAGTTTGATCCTGTGGCTCCCGAGGACGTGGACAGGATCTTGGGACAGCTGAACGCAACCACATGTTTATTGGACCCGTGTTCCTCCTGGTTGGTGCTGGCTTCCCGGGAGGTTACACGAGGCTGGCTCCAGGGGATTATCAACGCTTCTTTGAGCAAGGGTGTCCTACCGACCGCCTTGAAAGAGGCGGTGGTGAGGCCTCTCCTCAAGAAGCCATCACTGGATCCGGCTGTTTTGGCTAACTATCGTCCAGTCTCCAACCTTCGCTTTATTGCGAAGGTTGTTGAGAGTGTGGTGGCGCGACAGCTTCCCCAGTACCTGGATGAAGCTGTCTATCTGGATCCGCTCCAGTCCGGCTTCAGACCTGGATACAGCACGGAAACGGCATTGGTCGCATTGGTTGATGATCTCTGGAGGGCTCGGGATAGGGGTTATTCCTCTATCCTGGTCCTATTAGACCTCTCAGCGGCTTTTGATACCGTCGACCATGGTATCTTGTTGCGCCGGCTGGAGGGACTGGGAGTGGGGGGCACCGTTTTGCGGTGCTTCTCCTCCTATCTCTCCGACCGGTCGCAATCCGTGTTGACATGGGGGCAGCGGTCGACCCCAAGGCACCTTGTTTGTGGGGTGCCGCAAGGGTCGGTCCTCTCGCCCCTCCTGTTCAACATTTATGTGAAGCCGCTGGGTGAGATCATCCGTGCTTTTGGGGTGGAGTTCCATCAGTACGCTGATGATACTCAGCTGTACATTTCCACCCCAGACCATCCCAATGATGCCTTGGAAGTGATGTCCCAGTGCCTGGAGGCCGTGCGGGTCTGGATGGGGAGAAACAGACTTCGACTCAACCCTTCCAAGACCGAGTGGCTGTGGCTGCCGGCGTCCCAGTATAGCCAGCTGACGCCATCGCTGGTTATTGGGGGCGAATCATTGGCCCCCACGGAGAGGGCCCGCAACTTGGGTGTCCTCCTGGATGCGCGGCTGTCTTTAGAAGGGCATATGACAGCCGTGGCCAGGGGGGCTTTTTGTCAGGTTCGCCTGATAAGCCAGTTGCACCCCTTTCTGGACCGGGACTCCCTACGCACGGTCACTCAAGCACTTGTCACTTCTCGTCTGGACTATTGTAATGCTCTATACATGGGGCTCCCCTTGGGGTACACCCGGAGGCTCCAACTGGTGCAGAATGCGGCCGCGCTGGGGATTATGGGAGCGACGGGGCGCTCCCATGTGACTCCTCTCCTGCGCGAGCTGCATTGGCTTCCGGTGGACTTCCGGGTGCGCTTCAAGGTGTTGGTGATCACCTTTAAAGCGCTCCATGGCTTAGGGCCAGGGTACTTACGGGACCGCCTTCTGCCACCAATAGCCTCCCATCGGCTGGTTCGCTCCCACAGAGAGGGCCTCTTCAGGGTGCCGTCGGCCAGACAATGCCTGCTGGCGACCCCCAGGAGGAAAGCCTTCTCTGTGGTGGCACCTACCCTTTGGAACAATCTACCCCCAGAGATACGAGTGATCTCCGACCTCCGGACTTTTCGTCGGGCCCTAAAAACTTATTTTTTTCAGTTAGCCGGTCTGTCTTGATTTTAGGGTTAGTTTTAAAATTTTAATATTGATTTTAAATTGACAAGTTTTAAATTACGGGCCAAATTTATAAATTATTTTTAATTTATTTTTAACTGTGATGTTATGTATAGATGTTTTTATTTTGGCTGTTCACCGCCCTGAGTCCGAAAGGAGAAGGGCGGTATAGAAATTTGAATAATAAATAAATAATAAATAAATAAATAAAATGGTCTGAATTGGGATTGGGTATGATATTTACTCAAAAGTAACACTAAATTTTTCTTCCCTAAAATTAAGTGTGTATGGAGTCAGTGGAGGTAGGTCAAAATGGTATATTTTCTGAAATAAGACAAAGTATTATTGAAAGTAAACAAATGTACAAGAGACATAAATGTGAGGATGTCTGCTGCAAACATTGCAAGTAATAAAAAGAGGTGGATGAGACTGGAAGTTTTCTCTATATTTATCTGGAAGTAAAAACATAGAAATCAATTGAATAAAATTGCTGCAAATCTAATTATATTCCTTTATCCTTGCATCTTAGCACACATGACTATCATCCAGTTTCTTGGTTTTAAATAGAAAAAACAGGTTTTCCCCAGTTTCTATTCCAATTTGTAACTTTGGCTAAATGTATCTATCCTCAATATAATAGCATTGTATGGACTGAGTGGAATTTTAAATAAGTCTTAAATTTGCTGAACTTGAACTTCTGCATTCTCTTGAACTGTACTCCAGAGTGGTTTTTGTGAGAATGTGTACATATGGATGGGGAACTATTAACTTTACAAAAAGTTACATTATTTTACAGATAATTATTAATTTATAATCAATAAATGTTAATTGAATGTTTGTCTTTGCCCTGTTATTTTTTGGAGCATGGCCTACAGAGGAAATCATGGCCTACATTTGGAGCATGGCCTACAGAGCATCACACCGGGTGGCTGCTCTTCTGGTTTCTGGCGCTTCGCCACGTGTGAAGACCAGCTGGCCGGCACGCCGGAACCCAGAAGAGTAACGGGCGACGGCTTGTGCCCGGAGAAATGGCTCTGCGTGCCATAGGTTCGCCATCATGGGGCTAGGCCATTGTAAAACATTGATATTCTTCTGATGAAGCCATTCTTTTGTTGATTTGGAGGTATGCTTTGGTTCATTGTCACTTTAAAAGATGAAATTCCTCTTCATCCTCAGCATTTTATCAGAGTGTCACTACTTCTCTGCCCTTATAACTTTTGCAAATAACTGCCCTGTGACTCTGTTTTAAGTCACAAGAGCCCCCCAGAATAGAGGGGGCTTGGAGAATCTCTTACAGGGGTGGGCAAAGCAATTTGCTCAGAATCTATTAGGGGACAGAGTTGCTCAAAGTTGGATGCCAGCTTTGTTGCAGATCCAGAATGGATGCCTGGGGAGGAGTTTTGCTCCACAAGTTACATCAGTTGCCAGGATGCTTCTGGCTCCAATTCAAGGCACTGGTTTGACCATTAAATCCCTTTATGGCACTGAGGTATTTGAGGGATTGTCTCTCCCCAATTGCATGTACCACTTCCATTACATCTTGCAGATAAGGCATGCATGCTATGTCCCTTAAGTCATCTGGATCTAAGACCATGATGACGAACCTATGTCACGCGTGCCAGAGGTGGCATGCAGTGCACACATGCGCAGGGCATGTGCAGGGGGCATGCGCCATTGCATTTTGGGGGTTCAGGTACACTTTGGGCACTCGGTCTGGAAAAGGTTAGCCATCACTGATATAAGATGACTCCATCATAATTAATATTCACCTTCTCCTGTGCCTTGGTTTTTATATTTTAATACTGTTTGTTTTATATTTTTAATAACTTTTTATATATTTATTGTTTTAGATATTGTTGCACGTTGTCCAGAGCCATTATTTGTGAGATGGGCAGCCTTATAAATTTGATTAAATAAATACATGCATAAACATATTTTCAAGATCGAAATGTGCTTTTGCTGTTGCAACCATTATCGCTTTTCAGCTTGCCAACGAACTAGGAAGGAGGGAAGGGGAAATGGAATATAGGCTCCAGACAACAAGAAGACGAATGTGGGAGCCAAGGACACTGCAGCAAGTGTTTGCAAAAGGCAAAGACTTTTTCTCACAATATCGTGAGGCTCAATTGGACCATGTGATCAGCACTTAGAGGGGGACGGAAAATCCTATACTAATTATGTGGGTTTGCGTGGGAATTAGTTAGATCTGGTTTGACCTAATCAGTGCTGAAATGATGTACTCAATAAAGTTTTGCATTCAGAGATTGGATCGTCTTGCTTTTGCTTTCTTGATTGGGTTCGTCAGGCAGAACATTGACACATAGCCTGATAAGTAAATAAATAAATAAATACACATATGCATATACATTTGCAATTGAGTCATATATACAAATTTGGTAGGAGGAAATACTTTCCAAATTGATTTTATTGGGAATTGCCAATCCTAGATTGGCAAACCTAGACAGGAAATCTGGGCAATTCATAGGACTATTTTGTGTGGATTTATAAACAATTTTCTATTTAATCTTTATTTTTAGAGGGGGAGTGGCTTAAGTTCTTGGCATTTTCCTTTCAGTTATATTCAATATTATAGTTACATCTGCTTTCCATTCTCATTCTCTTTTCAGAAATCAAATGGGACTCCATTTGCTAATAGTGATGCCTGTTTTGCTCTAGCCTATGCAGTTATCATGCTGAACACTGATCAGCACAATCATAATGTTCGCAAGCAGAATGTACCTATGACATTAGAGGTGAGATATTTCTTCTTCGTGGAATTTGCTAATTTGAATATTCTGATTTTTTTTCTGGTGTGTTGGGCTTTATTAAGATTATGTTTTCATCCTCAGCTTTCTTGTTCCTATTTCTTTTCTTTTCAATAAAAGGACCAGGAAAATATTTAAAAATAGAAAATAAAGTTCTTATAAAAAGCGGTAAAACAATTTCCTTACTGTAAGCATCCAGGGTAAATCAGATCACTTTCACTAATGTAGGAAAAAATCTTCATGCCATTGACTTCCTTGTGATAAAAACAAAAGTGTTTGTTGTTCCAGAAAAAAAGCAGTAATAAAGAATAAAAACTTCATGTTTATAATCCACCAGTGTGTGTGGGGGAGGAGTGTGTGTTTGTAAGAATAGTTCAGCATTCCACCAGAACATTTAAAATGTAAAGCAAAAAGAAAAGAAAAGAATTTCAAATTTGGGAGGCATGCTTAAAAATTCGAACTAAAAGGTGGAGACTTGACTCTTCAGCCATAGATGGTGGCAAAATCAGCTGTTTGTCAGTATGGAAAAGAAAACTACCAGAGCGCCATTTTCAGAGGATCTCTTGCTTCTATTTTTCTGCTTTTTTTCTTTGAATTGTAGAAGCTTTTAGAAACTAATCCCAAAATCTTCCAAAGATATGTGTTACCTCTGAATTTCATAAGAAAATATTCAAAATATATCACAATAAAGGTTATTTGCAGAATTCAGAATTTATCAGAAAGTAATGTACTTTCATTGATAATTACAGGAATTCCGAAAAAATCTGAAAGGAGTAAATGGTGGCAAAGATTTTGATCAAGACATGTTAGAAGATATATATTATGCTATCAAGTAAGTATAAATTAATCCTTGGAAGAAGAAAGTTATCAGAGCAATCTGATTTTTTAAAAAAGCTACTTTGATGTAGTGGCTAAAGGGCTAGCCTAGCAGCCAGTAGTAGACAGTGAGTTCTAGTCCTGCCTTAGGCATGAAAAACTGTCTGGGTGTCTTTGGGCTATTCACAGTCTCTCAACTCACCTCACAGAGTTGTTGTTGTTGTGGGGAAAATAGGAAAAAAGAAGCATATTGATACATTCACCAGTTGGTGTTGTATATGAAAAACGTGGTATAAAAATGAAATAAAATAAAATCTTAGCATATTTGCTACAGTGCATCTTAACAATTGATCATTTAATGTTTCTGTATTCATCTTTGATAGAAATGAAGAGATTGTGATGCCCGATGAACAGACAGGTTTAGTAAAAGAAAACTATGTATGGAGTGTGTTGTTGCATCGTGGAGCCACTGAAGAAGGAGTTTTTCTGCATGTTCCACCTGGCAGCTATGATCATGACCTCTTTGCTATGACCTGGGGACCTACTGTTGCAGCTCTTTCCTATGTTTTTGACAAGAGCTTAGATGAAACAGTTATCCAGAAGACTATTTCTGGTTTCAGGTAACTTTTCTTCACAGTCTACAAAATTATTTTATGTACCATATCCTTATTTTGACCAAAAAACCTTGGATGTTAAGCATGCTGATATTTTCCACAAAGACATACAGTTTTTAACAATGGCCTGTTTAAAATGTATCCACTAATCTTCGATGTCTACACTATCGTGCAGTAGCTGTTGAAATCTATTAGTCAATGTAAATTGGAACTGCACAACAACTGCAACATCTTTCAATTTCTTGACTGCAAAAGGACATATTGTTTGGCATTGTTGTATTTTCTTTAACCTGAATCACACCATGACTAGGTAACGGTCTGAGTTCACATCTGACCCTAGTAGGTGTATACATCTAGCAACATCAAGTACCATTGCCTAAAAATACATATATAGTTGATTTTGATGCTTGTGGAACTGTCAGGAGAGTGCCATCCTGCCTTGAGAATGCGGTTATGTTCAAAATAGGTGTTCCCAATACATAAACTGTTCATACCACAGAATAAGGTGAGGTATTCACCATTATCATTCATTTGTATAGCTGAACCGTGTAGCCCTAGAACATGTTCTATGCTATGTTTGTGTCCATCAATCTGGGCATTCAGGTCTCCGATAACCAATTTTAAACAGGCCGTTGTCAACAGTGCCAATGTAACAGTAGGGTGACATCAAGGTTCATGGAGAGAACAGTGGATTCTAGATGATATCTAGAAATTCATTGACAAACACAGGATTGCGAAACATCAACAGGATCAGGCAAAGACATTGACTGAAAGAATAGTAGCAAAGGACAAATACAGAGACCTGGACTGCCAGGTTAAGCAGAGTTGCCCGGTTGATAAGCGCAAGAGCATTGAGGCACAAGAGGCAGTGGATAGGAATGATATGAAGATAATATATCATATTGTTTTGCAATCTAACCAATGCAAGAGGAAGTCTTGATGTTCCTATTAAAAATAAGAATGGAAAAGTTTTGTTTAAAAATGAAGACCAAGAGGCGAGATGGGTAGAACACTTCAAAAAAACCCCATTTAATCAGCCAATCCCCAATATGACCTATGATTTTAGTAATGCTGATTCCATTGCACTACTCGATATTGAACTGAGCATGATTACAATCTATGAAGTTCAATGGGCAAATAATGCATTGAAGAATAATAAAGCTGTCAACATAGACGAGATCTTGGCAGAACTTTTGAAAGCTGGCGGAGATCTGGTAATGGAGCTGATTAGATTATTAAACATGTGTTGGCACACACAGTGCTTTCCTGACAATTGGCAAAAGAGAGTTATTGTTAAAACTTCCCAAGAAGGGAATCTCAGAGTCTATAATAACTGGAAAGTTATCACTTTTCTTTCTGTACCTGGCAAAGTGTTCTCAATCGTTCTCCTTAGACTCCTGCAAGGAACAATTAATAAAATGCTATGGGAGGAACAGACTGGGTGTCAGGGTTCCAAGTAATACCCCCAACGAAAGAAGACTTTGAGGCTTGAATTCCTTCAAAGTTCCATTTTATTAGAGATGTCATATTGGTACATCTGGGAAAACCCGAATCTGAAAGTTTCCAGGTTTTTCCTACCCTAAAAAAGGTCCCTGCCCAGCACTCACATGTCCATCACATGATCCAATCAGGCACCATCCAAAATTGGAGATGCCTCCCAGTCACCTCATCGCAGCTGCAGGGCAAGGTGGCCTTGACTCTCTGAGAAAAGAATGTTAGTTTGACAACATATTGATTTATTGATTTATTGGTTCGATTTATATGCCACCCTTCTCCGGAGACTCAGGGTGGCTCACAATGTGTTAAGCAATAGCCTTCATACTTTTGTATATGCCTGCTTAGTAGGGCTTTCGCGCCCCGCGTCCCCCCCAGCAGTGTTCTTTTTTATACAAAGTCAGTTTATTGCCCCTACAATCCAGGTCCTCATTTTACCTACCTTGGAAGGATGGAAGGCTGAGTCAACCTTGAGCCTGGTGATATTTGAACTTGCAGTAATTGCAGGCAGCTGGTGCTACTTTAACAGCACTTAGTCAGTTGCGCCACCAAAGACTCTTTGTCAATCTATGCAATCCCCACTCCCATTTTCCCATCATAGAAAATGTGGCAGGCTGAAGGCCAAATGTAAAAGATGGCTTCCAGGTCTGACAGACCCCCCCACCCCCCGAGAAAATCGTGTCCTGGAATGAGAGTAGTACAGAGAGTTAAAATCATACAGTTAACCACCTCTCCCCCCCCCCTCCCGGAGGACCCTTCGGCTTGTCAGGATATTTCTCATGGAATTGCTTAACCAATCTGTCTGCCTTCACATCCCAACTCTTAACCCTTGTAGCTTCAGACAAAGGGTACCCTTTCCAATGAACTAAGTATTGTAAACGACCCCTACAGTCTAGAATCTAAATTTTTTTCAGTTCATAATGGGTTTCTCCTTGCACTACTATAGGAGGAGGTGGTGGTTGGGTCTGAGGTCTTAATCTAGACCCAAAGGCTGGTTTCAGCAGGCTACAATGAAACATGGGATGTATTTTCCCTAGAATGCGGGGGAGGCTAAGTTGAACTGTCACAGGGTACTTTCACTATTGGGAAAGGACCTAAAAACTTATGTCCTAATTTTTTGCTAGGCAGCCTCAACCGTACATGTGGTTGATAGGAAAACTTTATCTCCCACATGGAAGTGGGTTGAATAAAGCGGTGCTTGTCTGCCTGCTTTTTATATTCCTCCGCAGTTTCTGCCAGTGCTTTCTTTATATTTTCCCACCCCTTTTTCAAGGACTCCACTCTGCCAAAGACATAGAAGAAGGGGGTTCCCTGGGTAGTTCAGGCATGGGGACAAATTCCATGCCACTGGTAACTTGAAAAGGAATCAGTCCAGTGCTGCTATGCAGTGCGTTATTGTAAACCACTTCTGCAAACAGTAACAAGTCCGTCCAGTTCTCTTGTTGGTAATCCACATAGCATTTTATATATTGCTCCACCATTGCATTTGCTCGTTCCGCCGCGCCGTTCATACTCAGATGAAAAGCCGAGCTAAGTCATTGCGTGGATCCGATGGACCTCAGGAACTCTCTCCAGAACTTGGCCATAAATTGGACTCCCTCGGTCTGAGATGATTCAGCAGGGTATTCTTTGCAGGCAGTAGATGCATTTGATGAATGGTTTAGCCAGCTTCTTCGCAGAAGGCAGTCTGGAGCAAGCAGAAAAGTGGGCTTGCTTGGAAAATAAATCAATTACTGTCCAGATTATTGTGTTCCCCCCATTTTCTGGGAGTTCAACTATAAAATCCATTGCAATGTCTTCCCAAGGTCTACTGGGGCTTGCCACTTGCTGGAGAAGTCCAGGGGTTTTTCCTGGTCTCAATTTCATGGCAGCACAGGTGCCATAGCTCTTTACATAGTTTTCCACACCTGCTTTCATTTTGGATTCTTCAGGAATCCAAAGTGACCGCCTAGTTTTGAGTCATGGCTGCACTGTAACACCTCTAGTCTCAAGCTCGCAGGGACATACAGTTTAGAAGCTTTCCATGCTAGTCCATCACTCATAGTCAAGACATCTTTATTGTCTGTGAGCCAGGGGTCGGCTGGCAGCACAGCTTTAATGTAACTTTAATTTAATTAACTTTAATTTAACGAAGATTAATTAGTTAATTATGTTAGATAATTACTTAATTAGTTAAGTATGTTAGAATCTTCTGATGAATCTTGGAGTTCCATCTTCTTCAGTTTAATTTCTTGTAACATATTTTGGATGTTTTTCATCCATCTTCCTCTTAATTGCTGCATTGTATTCTATAAAATGTCCTTGTATCGCAACCTTACAAACTGTTGTCAAATTGGTTCCCTTACCCAGTGGTGGATTGCCCCCGGTTCGCACCGGTTCTATAGAACCAGTAGTAAAACCGGCGGGAGGCCCTGCCCACCGACCCCAACATCACCAAAATGTAGCAAAATAGCTCAACATGTTGGAAATGCAAGAAATCCCAAGGAACATATTATCATCTATGGTGGACATGCCCGGTAGCAGAAAAAATAGTTTTAAAAGTTAAAAAAAAAAAGTTGGCTACGTCCAGAGAACCGGTAGTAACAAATTTTACATTTCACCACTGCTGCAGATCCTCTCCGCCTCTTCCTGATTTAGCTTCCCTTCGGATTGGGGTTGTCTGTGACCCCCAAGTTCTCGCTGGCTGCGGGGCTTTCCCTCCCCCCTTGTCATCCAGTGCAGTAACTCTTCCTTCGGCAAAATCTTCACCTGTGAAATGAAATGGGTGTGGGTGTCCGTGTGGCCGGACAGATGCTTCCAGGCCCAGAGGAGGAATCAGCGGTTCTGCACTGGGGAGAGGAAGCGTTTATATCGGACTTTGGAGGTGGGAGGGGCCCAGAACAAGGGCCCAGCACCAATGAGAGACAGTTTTGCAGGGAGAGAGAAGCGGAGAAAGTGGGAGGGGGGATCTTGGCCTGAATAACCAACTTGGGCTTCTTCTATGGACGGAACTCTCTCCTCCAGTGGGTGAAGTCAAGGGAAACTTTGCCCGGAGACTGATGATGCTGCAGAAGGGAGAATTCTCATTGGTCCTTTCGCTTTTCTGGACACTCCCTATTCCAAAGTTCTCTGAAGCCCCATTCTTGGCTTGGCAGCATTTCTGTGATTCCTTCGCTCTGCGGAGAGAGGGAATAAGCGGGGAATTCCACTGCCTGAGCCAAAGTGATCTTGAGACACGTCATTTTCTCAGTGGGAGAAACCCTCAGGAGGGGAGGGGTGAGGCGGAGCCTGGCAAGGGAGGCCAGGAGGCGGGGACAGGGACAGGCAATTCAGCCAGTTCGCTGAACTGCATATAAAATTAACAAACAGTTCTAGCGAAACGGGGAGAACTGGATGAATCCCCACACTGCATCCACCCCAAGGAAGCCACCAGCTGCTCTACTACCACCGTCATTAGCCTCATGGTTCCACATACCATTGGGTCGTTGACTCTGCTGCTGTTGCTTTCCAGGTCGGCTTCAGGTCTTTGGTTGGAGTTCCCTTGTCATCACTAGATGAGGGGGTGAACACTATGACTTCAACCCCCTTGCTTGCTGCTTTTTTGGGTTTGGAGACTGGATTCCCTTTCCTCAGGGAATCCTTCAGGGTGGCTGGTATCCAGCGTGGAGGAGAGTAATCAATAGCTCGATGGTTTCCTTGCCACATTTTAACCCCCTGTTGTGTGTCGCCTAGGGCTAGGATCCCTCCTGTCTTTGGAAGGTCTCTCCTCTCTGCAGCACTGAAGTGTTGCGGTTCCCTCCCTGGGGTTCATGGGACAAGGCTAGGTCAATCTTCACCTCACCAGCCAGGACGTACTATCCTTGGAGAGTTTTGAGAGACCCCGAGAATAAACAGATGTATAGAACTTCCCGATTTACGCCCAGCTGGAAATATTGCATGAGTATTTCTTGGGGCCAGCCCAGAAGTTCCCTGGCCAGCCCACAGAATTCTGAATATAGGCTGCAAGCATCTGCATCATGTAGCACCATGATCCAGTGGGCTGCTTCACCCTCCAAGGTCCTTATAATTTAGCGCACCTTAGTTTCATAATCTGGGAGGCCCAGTCCATATTCTGCCATGAAATCCCAAACTCTGGTGAGGAGAATTCCCAGTTGTTTCACCTCCTCATTGAACTTTACCTCCAGCTCTGGTGGCTGGTGGTCACCTTGTGCCACTGGGGCAGCTGGTGCTGGCAGCACTGCAGGAGCCAGCGGGGACAGGGATCGGCAACTGCCTCTGGTCTCCAGTCAGTTGCCAGGAACACTCTATCTGTGCCGGCTCAAGACATGTCTCTGGGTGTCGTGTTCTGGGCCCAGATTCTTGGGTGAGATCACTGCTGCCAGAGGGCCCTCTAACTCCCCAGGGATCATTAGGGTCAGTCCCTCATCAGTGAGGTCTCTCCCAGTTTTTTGAGTGAGTAGGCGGGGGCATCGACCTAGGCATGGGGTTGGGCTGCTCCAAGGGAATGCCGGTTAGAAGTTCTCAACATCTTTGATGGGTTCAAGTGGTGGTCCAATGGTTGTCCCATGACTCTCCTTCTGGGTTTGCCATGGATGCTGCCATTCCTCTGGGCGGCACAAGCTGGTCTCAAGTGCTCTGGTGATGGTCATCCCTTTCAGTGGTTTGTTGGTCTCCATTGAAACTGTTCATCGGAGACTCCCCTTCCCCCCTCTCTCAGGCCCTGGGCATCGATGTCGGCTTTTACATGTGGTGCCTTTTATGCCGGTTCAGCAAGCTGAGAAGGCAGTAGCTCTTGCCACACTTGTTACAGCTGTAGGACCTGAGGGGGTTGTAGGTCTCCCCATGTGCCTTGCCAGTTGCAGGGTCAGGAAAAGTCTCACTGCATTCTCAGCAGGGAAAGGGCTTTGGCTCCTATGTCATTACTTTTACAGCTGCCCCCCAGTCCTGTTGTGATTGCCTCTCTGGCAGAATGGGACTTTTTGCCTCGGTCTCTTCGCCTTGCCTGTTTCACCTTAAAGTTTTCGCCTCTGCGTTATTAGCCACAAACTTTTCTCCTCGGCTGACACACCCCCAGTCTTTCGCCCCAGCACATTGGCCACGGCCCCTCCGTCCCAGTCCCTTAGCCGGGACCCATTCGTCGAAGTTCAGTTCGTGTTGGGCTTTTGGCCTCCCAGGACAATTCACACCCAGCCAATCAGTGCAGGGACTCGGGGACTTTGGAGTGGAAGAGTGGGGGCTGCAATTCAGAGGGAGACTCAGAAGGGCCAACAACACCCACCCCTTTGTCCAAAGTGCCTGAGACAAGGGTAGGCTCGGCTGCCGAGAGCAGTGCGGAGGTAGGGTGGGGGACGGGGGCTGTAAAGGATGAGGGATCCATCACCCCAAATGGGAAGAGAAGAGTGGGGAGGGGGAAAAGAAAGAAAAAGAAAGAAAAAACAGGGGAGAGAGAAAAAGAAAGATGTAAATCTGAAGTTAGATTATATTACTGACTTTTACAATGTAGAATCTCATGTTTTGTAGAATTTTCCTTCCATGTTTCTTGAATATGTATTTGGAACTTCTTACCGAGAAGTTTAACTTTGATCAAAGAATAAAGTCTGTTTTCTTTGGTTTTCAAGCCTCCGTTTAAGTCTTTGTTTTGGTTCATTTTTGGCTTAAGTGTATTGCCAAACCTTACACTAGTATGATTCGATTGCTTATTTGTACCCTATGACTATCATTAAGTGTTGTACCTTATGATTCTTGATGAAAGTAACTTTTCTTTTTATGTACACTGAGAGCATATGCACCAAAGATAAATTCCTTGTGTGTCCAATCACACTTGGCCAATAAAGAATTCATTCGTTCACTCAATGGTATGTCCTTATAGGATAGGACACAAATTTTTTCCTTAGGAAATTAGGAGGGAATCTGGCTATTTAAGTTCTCCTCTTTTGTTTATTCAGGAAAGAGGTTGTTAAGGGTAAAGGGCAGGCAAATCAAAGCCAGATCAATGTATTTGCCCCAGGTAAAAAAAAAAAAAAAGGTGGTAAAAAGAATTTTCCTCTCGGACTTCAAACATACTCCTTTCGATGAAGCCTGGGTATTTACCCCACCACTCTTCACCTCTGCTCTTCCACCAAGCATAGCACAACAACCTCTTTCCTGAATAAACAAACGGGAGAACTTAAAGAGCCAGCTTCCCTCCTAATTTCCTAAGGAAAAAATTTGATTCTAATGAGTACCTCTGTGTATTTGATAAGCTATATAAGACCGGTGGTGATGGGGCAGTTAGGGTCCTTCCGGTCCTTTGCCAAAGATTCCTTCCCTGCGAGGGTGTGGAGCACCCTGTTTGAGCCTGTCCCCCCCAAATCCTCAAAATCCCCAAATCCCCCCTCACCTCTCTTTGTGGCAAAGAGATGCAAACCAGCCCTTGTCTCAGGCACTTTGGACAAAGCAGGGGTGGTGGTGGTCTTTCTTTCTTTCTTTCTTTCTTTCTTTCTTTCTTTCTTTCTTTCTTTCTTTCTTTCTTTCTTTCTTTCTTTCTTTCTTCCTTCCTTCCTTCCTTCCTTCCTTCCTTCCTTCCTTCCTTCCTTCCTTCCTTTCTCTCTCTCTCTCTCTCCCTCCCTCCCTCCCTCCCTCCCTCCCTCCCTTTTCTTTTCTTTCTTTTTCTTTCTCTCTCCCCCCACTCTTCTCTTCCCATTTGGGGTGATGGATCCCTCATCCTTTACAGCCCCCCTCCCCCACGCTGCTCTCGGCAGCCAAGCCAACCCTTGTCTCAGGCACTTTGGACAAAGAGGCGGGTGTTGTTGGCCCTCCTGAGCCTCCCTCTGAACTGCAGCCCCCGCTTTTCCACTCCCAAAGCCCCCAAGTCCCTGCACCGATTGGCTGGGTGTGAATTGTCCTGGGAGGCCAAAAGCCCGACACGAACTGTACTTCGACGAATGGGCCCCGGCTAAGGGACTGGGACGGAGGGGCAGTGGCCGATGTGCCAGGGCGAAAGACTGGGGGGGTGTCAGCCAAGGAGAAAAGTTTGTGGCTAATAATGCAGAGGCGAAAACCTTAAGGTGAAACAGGCAAGGCGAAGAGACCAAGGTGAAAAGTCCTAGACCCCCCTCTCTGGTCCCTATCTTTGCATGACCCCTGCTGGAGACAGACATACAGGGTTAAACATTCCTCATGGTAGGCTAGCCCTCTAGGTGGATTGAGAATGAAGTTCTGCCCCAACTTGGTCCCTTAAGAAAGAAAGACCCTCAACTCCATTTGTAGTGAAAGGTATACTTTACTAAAAGGCCAAGTGGTTTACAGTATAGCAAAGCCAGAACTGAGTATTCACACCAACTTTCCCCAGTCTCTCATTGCTGGTCTCTCATTGTCCAATCAATTTTAAAAGAGATGATTTGGAAATGCCTGTCGACATTCTTCTGGCTTCATCGCTTCCCTCAAGCATTAACTCTTCCTCCCTTCCCTTCCTTCCAGCCTCCCCCAGAGTTCATGGCAGACTGGCATTCTGACACCAGTCCTTATGACCTACTTGGTCAGCTCCAACAATAGATAAGAAGACCAAGTTACAGCTTTATAAAACAATTGTTGTACCAACAGAGATCTATACCAGTGACACATGGGCATTAACAGCACACACAGCATGAAAGCTCAATGTGCTCCATCAATCTTGCCTACAGAGAATTCGGGGTGTCACTTGATGTGATTGTATCAGCAATGTGGAAACTTTCCAGTGAGGTGGATCCAGGAAGTTGCAGCCATTGTGACAGAACATCAAATGTGCCTAGCTGGCCATATTCTTCCTTTGCCAGAACATTGATACCCGAAAAACACTGTATGATGGGAGCCGCCAGAGGGAAAGTGGAGGTGGAATAGACCATGCAAAACTTGGCATCAGACATTTAAAAATAACTTACAAACAGTGGACATTAAATGGATAGAAGCTGAAGACGCTGCCATAGATAGGATTCATTGGAAGAAACTTGCTGTCCTATGCACTTCATGTAAAAGAAACTGATGATACACACAGATATCAATAAATATGCAAGAATGAAAAATGAATGTTTGAGTAGTATTTGTGTTTGTGACAGAGTTGTATTTCTGAATGTCATCTTATTTTTTATTACTGCAATGATTATTGTGCTTAATTCACAATTAAACTATATGAGTTTGCCCTTCATTAATGCACATGTGGTATCATTTGAAACCAAACCAGCTTGGTTTGAATAATCACAGTTTGATACATATCTGTTTGCGTTGCAGAAATATAATGGGAAAAAACGGGGGAATAATTCTGGAAGCTTACAGCATTATGATTTGTCTTTCAGAAAATGTGCCATGATCTCTGCTCATTACGGCCTCAGTGATGTTTTTGACAACCTCATAATTTCTCTCTGTAAATTCACAGCCCTCAGCAGTGAGGTAAGTTGTCAAATGGAGACATATAAATAATTTAAATTTAAACATAGTTCATGAACAAAATTGATTTTCCTTTCAGTTAAATACAACCACTTGATTCGTTAATACTAATTTTCAGTTCTTTCTGGTTCCCCAGAGCATCCAACTTTCAAAGTTACATCCTACCAATTTTTTAAAGAGAATTGAAAACAAAAGCATGTTCTTGCAAGAAAGTTTCTTGTAATTAATTTCAAAATCTTATTTTATAACCATCTGGACCCTTGGTCTGTTTGTAATTTTTCAAAATCAAACTTTTCATCATTTTTTTGCTGTTAATTCCATTTTTTAAAACTTGTATTTAAAACATATTTCACTAAGAATTGAAGAAAATTCACCAGGTGCTGTAAAACCTGTTGATCCAAAGTTCATAATAATTACAACAGCACTGAAAAAGTGATTTATGACCATTTCTTATAGTTATGACCGTTGCATTATCTCCATGGTCATATGATCAAAATTTAGACCCTTAACAACTGTCTGAGATTTACGACGATTGCAGTGTCCCTAGCTTATGTGTGATCACCTTTTGCAACCTGCTGACAAGCAGTCAATGGGAAAGCCAGATTCACTTAACTATGTTACTAACTTAACTGCAGTGATTTACTTAACAACTGTGGCAGAAAGGATTGTAAAATGGAGCAAAACTCACTTAACAACTATCTTGGTTAACAACAGAAATTGTGAGCTCAATTGTTGTCATAGGTTGAGGACTACTTACATGTGAGCCCAGTGTTTTCCACCAACCATGGTTGAAAAAATGGCTATTCCCTTATGTCTCAGAGCTCTAAACCTCCCAGAGACTGCAGATCTTGTGTGTTAAGCCCAAAGAAGCCTATGCAATGGGACAAATAAGAATTGAAGGGACATCAAATCCTATGACAATATTTGAATGAACTAAAGATTTAGATTGTTATAGGTAAAAGAAAAGAATATAAAGTTGACTTATTTTATCAAGGTCAAAATAAGCCATGTTTTTATGAAATTCTGGCAAACCTTTATAAGACTTTTTGCTAACACCAGGATTGAAAAGTTAATGTCTTATGGATAAGTCCTAGATAAGGGATAGATTATGGGAAGAAGCAGTATCTAGTTGTAACTTTATAGAGCAGCAGTTCTCAACCTGGGGGTCATGACCCCTTTGGGGATCAAACGGCCATTTCATAGGGGTCGCCAAAGCCCTCTCTCGCTCCCCCCACGCCTTCACTCACCTCACCCTCTGCCTCTGTTGGATCGCCGGTTGCCATTCGCTTACCCCGCCCATTCCCAATCTATTGCTGCCTCCTGAGTCCCAGCTGATGGCTAGAGGGAAAAAAACTGTTTAAATTCTTCCCACGGGGCTTCAAAGGGCCGCCCTACAGCTGATCAGTGTTAAAAGAAAACAAATGAGTAGACCGGTGCCTGCAAAAATAGAAAAAACAACCCCTTTCAGCTTCAGCATAGGTTAATTACCATAAATTGATTTGATCAGCCTCCCGACTCTCAGCTGATTTGCTCTCAGCTGTTTTGCGGTGGGCTCTGTTGCTAGCTAGCTGTAAAGAGGTAAATTGCTGGAGCAGATTTTTTTCCCCCTAGCTATGCTGAAAAAGCAAAACTGAAAGTAAAGCAGGGTCTTTGCTGCAAGGTGACAAAATGAGGCAGAGAGAGATTTCTTTTTCTTTTTCTTTTTCCTCACCAAAAAAGGTAGGTGCAAAACTGCAAACAATGGGAAATTTAGGGCAAAAGAGGAGGTTCAAGATTTTAAAACACAAAAGAAAAAAAGCTCTATTTAACTAGGAAATTGTAATAATTGAGATACTATTAATTGTATATTGTGTTGAAAGCAGAAATGGTTAAGTTGTGGTTTGAAGGAATATATGGGGGAAATTATTTGGTTTATTATTATTGGTAAATATAATTAATTGATTTGTAAGAAATTGGATTGCAAGGAAATAATTGGAATATTCATGTTCATATTAATATACAAAAAAGATAGTTATATAACTAATTGATTTATATTAAAATGTTGAATTTGTATTAAACAACTGTATTACATAATTACATAATTAACCAATGTGAGGATGGATATAAAAATAGATGACAATGCGAAGGAGTATAATATAGAATAGAAGGGAAAAATTGAATTTGATTAAGATTAGAGATGAGGATGAAGGGTAATATTGGTTTTTTTAAAAAAATAGATGAGGAATAAATATGGCAAAAAGGAAATATAGAAATTGTAAATTTAATTGAAATGACTAAACATTGTTTAAATTTGTGAACCGGCCAAATACTCTGTTCAAAGAAAATACATTGTATGTTTGTATGTGTGTTTCTAATTATTGCTATTTATTCATATTTGTTCTCTTTTAGTCTTTAAAGTTTAACAATTCATTCTTTATCTTAATATCTTTATATTTGTTTGGGGTTGGTTTTCTTCCCTTTAATCTTTTTTTATTGTACAGCAATCTTTCTCCTCAAACCTACCACCTCTCTCTTTTCTTTCCTTCTTACTTTCTCTTCCCCCCTCTTCTTCTCCTCCCTACTTCCTCTTCCTTTCTCCTTCTCCTCCTCTCTTCCTCCCTCTCTCACCCTCACTCCTACTCTAATTTCCCTTCCCTTCCTTCATCCCTCTCTATTGCTGTATCCTTTTATGCATATGGACTACTCAGAGGGCTGAAAAAGTTATTTCTGACTGGTCCTCACACTTTTGACCAGTCCTCGAACTTTCGACTGTCCTCACATTTTACGTTTTTGCCCTATCTTATCACCATGGTGAAGAGAAGCAGTTGTGAAATGAGTGATATGGTTGTTAAGAATGCTGCATAGGCATAAATGTGAGAATGGTCATAAGTGTGAGGACCTGTCAGAAATGACTTTTTTTGGACTTCTGGCTGGCTCCGCAGGACTTCGTTGACGCCTCTCTGTGGGCGTCCGATCCTCGGTTTTGTAAAAGCCCCAGAACAGCCGAAAAACAGTTGTCTGGGGCTTGAAAACCCTCTCCCTGGGCAAAGGGGAGAGAGAAGAGCCGGCAGGCGGAGGTAGAGCCCCCCAAGTGCCTTAGGAGTAATCCTGGGGTGCGAAGGGCAAGGGCTCCCTAGAAGCCTACCAATCTGCTCCAGACCTGGGAAGACTCCGCTAATTAGCGGGCTAGAAGCCGCGTCCATCTCTGCTGACAACAAATGAGGGATTTTTAACATCTTTAATTGCTGCAGGCAGAACAAGCCAGGAGAAGTCAGACTGCAAGTATTCACACTTAACTCCAAAGTTTATAGCCTCCTTCAGAAGTAACAAGTTAGCAATTTAAAATGGCGATTGAAACTTGAAATGGAGGGGCGGAAAAAGGGAAGGTTACAGAAAGTTTCGTTTCCCTGGCAGCCTCTTGCCTGGAAAGATTGAACCTGACAGATTCCAGACGGAGCTTGGGCCATTTCCTGAGGTTCTGGCACACGCCTCGACTGGAGACCTGGTGGCCGCCTGGGATAGGGCGGCTGCTGGTGCTCTGGATCGGGTCGTGCCTTTGCGGCCTCTGACCCGGCGCCGATCTCAATTGGCTCCTTGGTTTACCGAGGAGCTGAGGGAGTTGAAGCGCCGGAAAAGACGCCTAGAGAGTAGTTGGAGGGCCAGTCTTCTTGAATCTGACCGGACACTAGTAAGATCCCACATTAGGAATTACTTAGTGGCGATAAAAGCAGCGAAATGTAGTTATTTTGCTGCTCTTATTGCGTCATCAGATAATCGCCCGGCCGCCCTCTTTAGGGTGACCCGCTCCCTGCTCCACCAGGAAGCGCGGGAGGACCCCTTGGAGGGTAGAGCCGAGGATTTTGTTCAGTATCTGTATGACAAAATCACTCAGATTCGGGAAGATTTGGACTCCGACTGGGTAGTCTCAGGGGGAGAGACAGGGGCAGGTCTTGAGAATGTTATCTGGGATGAGTTTGATCCTGTGACCCCTGAGGACGTGGACAGGATTCTGGGTAGACTGAACGCGACCACTTGTTTATTGGACCCGTGTCCTTCCTGGTTAGTACTGGCTTCCCGGGAAGTGACACGAGGCTGGCTCCAGGGGATTATAAACGCTTCGCTGAGTGAGGGTGACTTTCCCGCCGCCTTGAAAGAGGCGGTGGTGAGGCCTCTCCTCAAGAAGCCTTCCCTGGACCCGGCAATGTTGGTAAATTATCGTCCGGTCTCCAATCTTCGCTTTGTTGCGAAGGTTGTTGAGAGTGTGGTCGCGCAACAGCTCCCCCAGCACCTGGATGAAACGACGTATCTGGATCCGTTCCAGTCGGGCTTCAGGCCCGGGTACAGCACGGAAACGGCATTGGTCGCGTTGGTTGATGATCTCTGGAGGGCTCGGGACAGGGGGTGCTCCTCTGTCCTGGTCCTGTTAGATCTCTCAGCGGCTTTTGATACCATCGACCATGGTATCATGCTGCACCGGTTGGAAGAGTTGGGGGTGGGAGGCACTGTGTTGCGGTGGTTCTCCTCCTTTCTCTCTGACCGGTCGCAGTCTGTGTTGACGGGGACAGAGGTCGACCCCGAGGCCCCTCATATGTGGGGTGCCGCAAGGGTCGGTCCTCTCGCCTCTCCTGTTCAACATTTATGTGAAGCCACTGGGCGAGATCATCCGTGGTTTCGGGGTGGAGTACCATCAGTACGCTGACGACACCCAGCTGTACATCTCCACCCCGGATCACCCCAACGATGCCCTTGAAGTGATGTCCCGGTGCCTGGAGGCCGTACGGATCTGGATGGGGAGGAACAGGCTCAGGCTCAACCCATCCAAGACTGAGTGGCTGTGGTTTCCGACGTCCCGATATAGTCAGTTGACGCCATCACTGACTATTGGGGGCGAATCATTGGCCCCCACGGAGAGGGCTCGCAACTTGGGCGTCCTCCTGGACTCACGGCTGTCTTTAGAAGAGCACTTGACGGCCGTGACCGGGAGGATTTTTCATCAGGTTCGCCTGATTCGCCAGTTGCGTCCC